CGGGGTCAGTGGGGGCGGGGCTCAAGGGATCTGGGGGCAGGACTAGGATAGGGAAGGCGGGAACCCAAGAGGTAAAGGGCTGGAGGTGGTGGTGGCTGGGCTAAAGGGGGCTGGGGCGGTGCTTGGGCAGGGGAGGCAGGATTAGGCTGGTGGCCTGCAGCTGTCTGGAGTGAATTAGGCTGGGGTTGGAGGAAAATGGGCTGGGGGCGGGACTCAGGCAGGGGAGGTGGGGTTAGGTGCAGAGTGGCAGGTGCAGTGGTGGGGCTGTTAGGGGTAGGGTTAAAGGGGCTGGGGGAGCTGAGACCCCCTGGAGGTTGGTGTGGGAGTTGCTGAGAGGCTTGGAGCAGGGCCAGGCGTGGCCTGGGGGCAGGGCTCACCCAGCAGGACGTCGTCATTGCAGTGGTTGTGGGCGCAGTGCTGGGTACGGGTCGCCAGGGCGAAGAGGTGTCCGCGCAGCTCCAGTGCCTCCTCAGGCCTGGCTCCGCCCCGGGCGCAGCCCTTCGTCACCGTCTGGAACTGCATGAAGGCTGCAGGGGCGGAGCCAAGAAAAAGGGGGTGGACTCAGGGCTCCATAGCCCTGCCCCCTGCTTTCCAAACAGGCCCAGGCCCTCCTTTGCCCCCAGCAGGCCCTCTCCCCACCTCCAGGCTCTGCCTCCTGCCTGTCACCTTAAGCCCCGTCCCTACCCAGCACACTGGGACACACCCCGCTTCCAGCTCTGCCCATTTGACAAAGTCCCACCCCCTATCCTGTCCCCCCATAGACCCTGGCTATTACACTAGGCCACTGCTCCTTTCCCTTCATAGACCCCACCCATGACCTTAGGCCCCGCCTCCCACCCTCATTAGGCCCCACCCCATGCACAGCCCCTGTCCATCATGCTAGGCCCCACCCCTATCTACAGCCCCCTCACAACGCCGCTGCCCTTTAGCAGGCCCCGCCAGCCCCCCCTAGGCTCCGCCCCTTCAGACTAAGCCTCCTCACTGGGCCCCAATTTAACCCTTCCCCCTGGCCCTCGTGCAAAGGACTCACACACGGCAGCCGTGCGCACAGCTGTGCGACACGCGTCCTCGCCGGGCGCACACATCACCTCGCTCTCCACGTCGCACCCAAACTCGCCGTGGCACTGCTTGCATGTCAGGCTCCAGGCTGGGGGGTGGGTCAAGGGTCAGAGGTCAAGGGACCCAGGCGTCTGACCTCTTACTCTCACCTGTCTCCCAGGGAGCCCAGGCGTCCAGCCTAGGGGGGTAGAAGCCTGTCATCCAGGCTCCTAATCCCACTTGTCCCCCCCCCAGATGAAGCCAGGCATCCTGGCTCCCAGCCCCGCCCCGGCACCCTCCCACACGCCGGAGAACCCAGGCGTCTGGGCCAGAGGCGGGGGTGAGGCTGCTTCTTGCCTCTCCCGGTTTCGAGGAAGGGGGGGCAAGGCCCAGTGTTTTACTTGGGGTTGGGTAACCCCCCCCGCTCCCTGCCCTGCCTCCACCCTGGACGCCTGGGTCCTCTCGCACTCCTGACGGGGAAACTGAGGCTCAGAGAATCCCGCCCCCCCCCGGTGGACCCTGTGCACAGTGGTGAGTTGGCCCCAAGTGTCTGGG